CTAGTGCTCCGCAGTTTTTTTTTTGAAACCACACATTACCGTCTTATCAGAATGAATTCAAAGTCATGACCGAAATATGAACCCTGGGGACACCGGGATGGTCCACCGGAAGATCTGGAACATTCGTAAAAGAGGTAAATTCATTAAACTGATCCTAGAGCTCCGTGTCTTTTTTAAACCACTCATAGACGTCTTATCATAATGAATTCGGAGTTATGACTCGAATGTGGACCCAGTGGACAACGGAAGATCCGGAACATCCGTAATAAAGCTTCACGGATTTTTCAAAACCACTAATAGACGTCTTATCAGAATTCGATGTTCTGACCGGAATTTGAATCATGAACATCCATATATTTCTCGAAAAAATACACACGCTAAAAACGAGTTACCCTTTTCTGGTTGTTTTATTGCTCAAAAAAGTGCACATAGTGAAATTCAATATTTATTTATTTGAGGGCTAAAATTACTCATTTGAGGGGTTAATAATTTTAACCAAAACGTAAAAACCAAGGTAACCACAAAAACCCTGCTTTTTGTATGAAGAAGAATACGTCACTCCAAAAAGTACACGTACTGAATGGTTGAGTAACGGGTTTTAATGCACAAATGAGCAACTGCTACTTACAAGATATTCGAGTAACTTAAGAATACGTTACACGAGGGAAGGCTGATAAACGCTAAACACAAGATTCCTTATATTATATCAAAAGAAACCGAGGTCCCAATTAGCTAAAATCCCATATGGTACGTGTATTCGTTAATGCCGGATCGACTGTACTATAGGAATCCAGCGGCAACAGTACTAGGGGAATCCGGCTAGAACGAATCCGTACTATAGGAATCTTGACTGTATCACTGTTTTTCGTTTCCGCTTAGTTTGTTTTCCACAAAGTTTACGATTTACCATAGACTAAAACCAATATTGTGTCACTATAAAATCGACCCGTATGAACACTATGGACTGTGTGCTGCCGTGCCGTGCCGTTTCCAAGATTTGGAAACATCCCATGTAAGAGAGATTGGCTATTTTCTAATCATGATTAACCATTCAAACCATCTGCAAAGACTCATAACCCTAAAGCTAGCCTTGTTTTCGATAGACTCAATCAAGATAATTTGTGGGGCATCCAGAGGCACTCCCGGACATAGACGCCAACTTTGATGCACTTTTGCCCCCCCCCCCAATAATTTTCAGGTCTCAGATAGTCTAGTCAGTAAAGGCATGGTATTACCAAGCCGGAGGCGCCAACCTTTCGGGTGGGAAATTTTCTTGGCTTCCCTGGGCATAGAGTATCATTGTGCTTCTGAACAGTTCATAGAACTTCCGTGGGATTCATAGACCTTCCGAGAAGTTCATAGAACTTTCGAGAAGTTTATAGAACTTCCATAACTCTCATATAACTTCCGAGATGATCATAGAACTTTCGAGCAGTTCATACAACTTCCCAGCAGTTCATAGAACCTACCAGCAATTAATAGAAATTCCCAGCAGTTCATAGAACTTCCGAGCAGTACATAGAGATTTTGAACAGTTCATATAACGAGATATTCATAGAATTTCCGAAAAGTTTATAGAACATCCAAAACCCCTACTCCCTACTAACGCCAGGGAGGTAGCTCCCACACCTGGACCCTACACCTATCGACCCATCAACTCATGGACCGGGGACCAAAGGATTTACTTGACTTTAGGCGTGATCAAAGATGTTATGCTTCAGAACATCCCGGCGGCACCGACGAGGATTGAACCCAGGCCTTTTGGGGAGATGTTCATAAGTTTATAGAACTTCCAAAACTCTCACAGAACTTTCGCGATGATCACAGAACTTCCGAGCAGTTTATAGAACTTCTGGGGTGAGCATATAACGTCCGAGAAGTTCATAGAACTTCCAAAACTCTCACAGAACTTTCGAGATGATCACAGAACTTCCGAGCAGTTCATAGATATTCTGAAAAGTTTATAGAACTTCCAAAACGCTAGAACTCCCGAGAATTTAACAGAATTCCCGAGCTATACATAGAGCATCTGAACAGTTCATAGAACTTCCGAGGGTTCATAGAACTTTCATCAAGTTCACCAAACCCAAACGCGATTCGAAATACAGTCAAGATTCCTACATATGGTACGGTTAATAGGAACCGCACTATGGGAACCGGCATTAACGAATACACGTACTATATGGGATTAGAACTAATTGGGGACAAACTCTTATTGTAGGGTTATTTAAAGTCATAACTTCCTGGTGTCTTTTGAATAGTTATTAACAAGATAGATGACCACCCTTTGGGGAAATTTTGCATCAGGAAAGTCACAAGTCTGGTCCTCCGGAAGACCCGGAACTTCCGTAAAAGTGGTCTATTAATGAAACTGATCCTAGAGGTCCGTGTTTTTTCGGGAACCGTTTTAACAGAATTAAGTTGAAGTTGTTGGGACTTGGGGACTACGGGATGGTTCACCGAAAGATTCGGAACATCGGTAAAAGCTCGGGTAAAAGTGGTCAATTCATGAAACTGATCCTATTGCTTCGCGGTTTTTTCGAAATTACTCATAGACGTGTTATCGGAATGAATTCGGAGTTGTGACCCGAATATGAAACTAGGGTACCACGTAATGGTCCACAGGAAGATCCGGAACATCCGGAAAAGTGGTCACTTTATGAAACTGATCCTAATGCTTCGCGGTTTTTTTCGAAACCACTCATAGACGCCTTATAAGAATGAGTTCAGAGTTGTGACCCGAATATGCACCCAGGGAACCACGTAATGGTCCACCGAAAGATCCGAAACATCCGTAAAAGTGGTCAACGTTTGAAAATGATCCTAGACCTCTGCGGTTTTTTCGAAATCTCTCATAGACGTCTTATCAGAATGAATTCGGTGTTATGACCGGAACATGGACACTGGGAGCCACGGGGTGGTTCACTAGAAGATCCAGAAAAGTGGTCAATTCATTATACTGATCCTAGAGCTCCGCAGTTTTTTTTTTGAAACCACACATTACCGTCTTATCAGAATGAATTCAAAGTCATGACCGAAATATGAACCCTGGGGACACCGGGATGGTCAACCGGAAGATCTGGAACATTCGTTAAAGAGGTAAATTCATTAAACTGATCCTAGAGCTCCGTGTCTTTTTTAAACCACTCATAGACGTCTTATCATAATGAATTCGGAGTTATGACTCGAATTTGAACCCAGTGGACAACGGAAGATCCGGAACATCCGTAAAAGAGCTTCACGGATTTTTCAAAACCACTAATAGACGTCTTATCAGAATTCGATGTTCTGACCGGAATTTGAATCATGAACATCCATATATTTCTCGAAAAAATACACACGCTAAAAACGAGTTACCCTTTTCTGGTTGTTTTATTGCTCAAAAAAGTGCACATAGTGAAATTCAATATTTATTTATTTGAGGGCTAAAATTACTCATTTGAGGGGTTAATAATTTAAACCAAAAAGTAAAAACCAAGGTAACCACAAAAACCCTGCTTTTTGTATGAAGAAGAATACGTCACTCCAAAAAATAAACGTACTGAATGTTTGAGCAACAGGTTTTAACGCACAAATGAGCAACTGCTACTTACAAGATATTCGAGTAACTTAAGAATACGTTACACGAGGGAAGGCTGATAAATGTAGGCAACAGGTATTACTTTTGGTTTTTTTTTTGTTATCCTATCCATTGAGTATAACACTTTTTGTAGAAATGGGTACTTCTCCATACACGCTAAACACAAGATTCCTTATATTATATCAAAAGAAACCGAGGCCCCAATTAGCTAAAATCCCATATGGTACGTGTATTCGTTAATGCCGGATCGACTGTACTATAGGAATCCAGCGGCAACAGTACTAGGGGAATCCGGCTAGAACGAATCCGTACTATAGGAATCTTGACTGTATCACTGTTTTTCGTTTCCGCTTAGTTTGTTTTCCACAAAGTTTCCGATTTACCATAGACTAAAACCAATATTGTGTCACTATAAAATCGACCCGTATGAACACTATGGACTGTGTGCTGCCGTGCCGTGCCGTTTCCAAGATTTGGAAACATCCCATGTAAGAGAGATTGGCTATTTTCTAATCATGATTAACCATTCAAACCATCTGCAAAGACTCATAACCCTAAAGCTAGCCTTGTTTTCGATAGACTCAATCAAGATAATTTGTGGGGCATCCAGAGGCACTCCCGGACATAGACGCCAACTTTGATGCACTTTTGCCCCCCCAATAATTTTCAGGTCTCAGATAGTCTAGTCAGTAAAGGCATGGTATTACCAAGCCGGAGGCGCCAACCTTTCGGGTGGGAAATTTTCTTGGCTTCCCTGGGCATAGAGTATCATTGTGCTTGCCATATAATAAACAAATTCATGCATTGATTGGCATAGAAAGCTCTTAATTAAGAACTGCAGAAGTGCATATTTAATACTAAATTGAGAGCAAACGCTCGCTACAGTAGCGTAAAAGCTTAGAAGAAGAAGAAGAAGATATAAAATGTTCGAGCTAAGTTGGCGCTACTGCTGCTGGATAAAATAGCGTGAACCTCATTGAAGCCCTGCATTACGGAGCGTAGAAAATTAATCAAACCTAAATTCCTAAAGTCTGATAAACGCCTTTGTGCGACATCTCTTACCGTACAAACTGATAAGATTGCCTTGATCGAGGCTGATATGGCTCGCGCGGTTTTTGCTTCTATTATGCGACTGAGTTTAGTTTGCTCAATTTTTCGCTTGAATCCCTCAAATGTTATCAGTTTCACGAACACATGACTCACATCTGCCTGGCGTGCATAAAATACAATTAACTTCTGTACCATCAGTCCACTTAGTTTGTTTACTATACTTCCACAATGCACCCGCTAATCAAACGTTCCAGTTATTCACGCCATACTATACCTAGTCATAATTAAGCTATTAATTATTGCTCGCTCCAGAAACGAAAAAAAAAAAATTAATGAAGAAATAATGAACGCTTTGTATTCATTCACTCACCTGACACCGTCTTCCCAGCAGCCCGAAGAGCTGCTCATTCTCGTCATTGGTCAGCAGCTGACTGGGTCGGTTGGCCTTAGTGGCGCCCCGGTCTGCCTCCGCCGATGCCGGTTGCTTCATGCTGACTCCGTCCCGCCCCCTTTTTCCCGTCGCCACCACGCGTCACTTGTTCGACACAGATTTTCTTGCTTCTCTGCTTCTGACACCACTATTTTCACCAATTTCAGAATTTACTATCCAGACTTCTTCTCCCTTCGTCGTCGTCGTCGACGGTTTCGTGGATGATTTTTCCAATCTAGGTTTTCACACACATTCAGAACATCAGAGATAGGGTAAATTGCAGCAGCACTCGTCGAACAACGTTCATGTAACGACGAAGCAGGTTTGGATGGAGAAACAATGAAGTCGAACAGCCTCAGCTCAGTCGACTTAAATTTATTCTCACCGTGCCGTGCCTTGCCATGCCGTGTGTGTGGTTTTCTAATGAACAGTAAAATCCAAATATTATTTCACGCCTTGTTTGTGTTAATCTTCTGGGAGTCTGGGATTTTTTTGGGTTGGAGACGGCTGCGGCCGCGGTTAATTCTATTCGTTTTTCTCAAAAGTCCCATCGTGATGGATTCTACCAATTTTTTCTTCCATCGCTTTTGTGCTTACATAGGTATTTGGCACTTGAAAAGGCGCAACAGAGTCCACTACAACAGTCATCAACACGATGCTGAGTGGGTGGCGGAAGTGGGACGACGAGAGCAACAACACGAGCGAAGGCTTACTGTGCGAATATGATGCATAAACCGTCACATGGGGTGAGATTAGCAACTGTTGCTGATTATAATAGATGGAATACGGGGTTTCAACCAAGCGGGAATTTGCAAGCAAAACCATGAAGGTTGTTAAGCTCATAACCGAGCGATAAGATAATGATAACTGATTGCGAGACGACTGCAACGTTGATTGCAATCTTAGTTCATAATAAATTATTTTATGTTTGTTGTATAGACCGCAGTTTTTAATTTGTTTTCCTACCGGCAGCCATTCTTTGGTACACGGGGCAATCATACACGGCAAATGAGAACGACTCAAATTTGAGTTTAGTTCACTCATAATCGCTAAAAGTGCAGGAACTCAGCGATGAGTAAATTTGCCGCATGGTTTCCTGCGGAAAACCTAAAAAATTACGCAACGTATTTGCAATCTTTTCACTATGAGCTCTGATTCCGTAAATCAACCAATAACGCTAATGTTGATGCATTGTCACGCATTTCGTTAGGCCATACGGATGCGGAGGATACAATCGAAAAGACTGATGTCATTGAGATGAATCAGATTGACACATTGCCACTCACTTCTGCTGAGTTAGCCCAAGCTACTTCCGAAGAGTCATCACTGCGGATCCTAATCCAAGGCCTCAAATATGGGCAAACTGTTGAAGCAAAGGACCGGTTCGGAGTGTATCAAAATGAACTTTCTCTCCAGAACCGAGGGGTATTCTGTAAACTAGTCAGGTAGTCAATTGCTATTTTAAATCAATCATAATCAACAGAAATAAACGTAATTTTACTACTACTCCAGAAACTGCGTTTCGATGATGATCCGCATAACATGCATCATTGCCAAACTGGAACTGCAAAAAACTACCGACAGGAAACTTCAGAAGCTGTCAGTCAGCTGAAAATTGGCTGCCTTCCGAACCATAGCAGCGATTTCATTCGGCGAAAGAATTAACTCTTCCAAAAATTCCAAGCAAGCTCACATAAACTCATCTCATCGTCCAGGAGAAGGGAAAGTTTTCGGGAACGATTGAGCTTCCACATGTTCCAGGTTATGAAGATAAACTTCCTGACCAACTGCTTCGAGAATATCGCGATACAGACAAACAATGTAGTCTGCAAATTATCGTCATAAAAGCCGCATTAAAACATTTTGCATTGGTTAGCGATTCCATGAAAGCAAAACAGCGTTTTCCCAAATTACCTAAGGGGCTGTTCATTAACTACGTAGACCTAGACGTAGAGAGTTTTTTTGGGATTCGTGTGAAATACTTCAAATTATATGCTTCGACATGCTTGGCATACACAGTTTTGGTCACGAACTGCTCATTTGTTAATAACTTTGCACACAGTTGACGAAACATAACTCTTTTTGAAGCAGTAGATAGAGTAGTTTTTAAGTTTGTTATAGGTACGTACAAAAAAGCAGATTTTAATTCTAGTAATCTAGTATTCTGCACATCTCGGATTTTAAGTGTAAAAATTCATTGGTGTTCATTCAAATGTTAAGATTTATCTACTCTTTGCATATCTATAGTAAGCTATGATCCTAATCTATCAATTACTTAAAGAAAAAAACAAATTTTAACAACTATGTGAAAAGTTATTAACAAATGAGCAGTTGGTGTGTACAACTGTGCATGCCAAGCATGTCCTTCGTATGCAAACTAAACTGGTTTAAAAAAACAGAAGTAAATTTATTATTTCATTACGTATATTCAACGTTCGCTGATTTGTGTCATGTGTCAAACCAGATAATAAAAAATATTTAAAATACATCAGTGCCCATCCGGCTCATGTCAACAAATTGAAATTAAATTTTGGCCGGTACATATCCATTGACTGAGTATTTGTTTCAGTCCAAGGTTTTCCACTTAGCTAACGTCTACTGTAATCAAGCGTAAGGCCAATTTCTTGACTTCCGCTCAAGCCTCAATTCTGGTGTAACTAAACGGATACATTGGTCCTTATTGGCGATATTGGCATTTACTATGACATTAACACTCCGAACCCGAAGCCTCGGTAAAATATGTAACGGCAAACTTGCAATGTTTAAAAAATCATAGCTCAGCCTTTTATTGACAAATTTCAAATTTATTGGCACCATCTGAAACTAGATACTTTAAAAATTTATTCGATATCAATAGATTTAAAATTGATAAATTGTAGAGCCTCCCTTAGCACAGTCGGTAAAGGCGTAGCTACAAAGCAAGATCATGCTGGAGGTGGCTGGGTTCGATTCCCGGTTCGGTCTAGGAATTTTTCGGGTTGGAAAATTTCTCGACTTCCCTGGGCATAGAAGTATGATTGGACTTGCCACACAATTATACCAATGCAAAAATGGTACAGGCATCGAAAGCTCTCAATTAACAACTGTGGAAGTGCATCTAGAACACTAAGTTGAGAGCACGCAATAAGCTAATATGCGATATGCAATAAGCTTGAAATGCGAAGAAGAAGAAGATTTTTCAAACATTACCAGTTTTCTGCTACACATTTTACCGGAGGCATCGTGTTAGGAGTGGTAAAAAAAGGGGCACAGTTTTCATTCAACTTGTACTTTCCCTTTTCAATCACGTATCCAGCACCGAAAGCAAGATTTGTGATAGATCAGTGCACGTAGATGTCAAATTTGACAATTTTGGGTGGTTTTTTTCGGTTCACATTCGTAGTTATATGTTGCCATCACTTTTACTCTGGAGTTAAATGAAAGGGATACAACAAGACCAGATTGTGAGGTGAGGTGAGGGACCGTGCACTGATCTATATGACCTTTCATCGTGTTTGTACAGAGTCTGTGTTCCATTTGGTGAATTTTCACTTGAATTTGACCGATGGAAAATTTTCAAATAAACCTGCTTTTGTACCAGACTTATTCATGACAGGCCAGGAATCAATTTTGACAAACACGTTCTCGAAAATAGGAAGGTCATCAACAGAGGGATTTTCGAACGTCTTAATTTATTTTCGAAGTGTCAAATTTAAGTGAAAATTCACCAATTGGAACACAGTTTGAGAACATAAAGCAAAGTTGCGTTGTCATGACAGCAGCGACGAAAGCTCTGATGCTTTTCTGCTCGATTATCAAAGTGTATTGAATATTGCTGATTCACATATATCAAGCTGAACATTGCATTAGGTCCTAAGCAGAATTGCGACCTATCACAATCACGATCGTCAAACAGCTGATGGTAGTAACGCTTTGTACATTCCTATCAATGTGCTCGTCGAAGCTCTCTCCATGACCATCCATCAAGTTGACGAAAGAAGTAAAAAGCAACTGGTGAATGTCGTCTTCGGTTGTGATCCATCACCGATCTGGTCATTTCCGACAATCACGACACTCATCTGTGCTCGTTTTGAAGCAGTTGCTGCTTTGATTGCTTATGTGAGTGTGTTGGTGAGTGAGCCCAATAGCTTCCGTTTAATGTTGCCTACTTTGTTTGTAACTCACACAGTCGCGCCTGCCGAGACAAACTTGGAATGCGTAGGCATTGTTTTCATTTTCTTCTGTCGTTTCGCTTTTTCTCATGATCGTACTGCAGAAGTCTTCACTGTTTTCGTTGTGCTTTTCATCATCAGCAGCGAGTGTAACGTTTTGCTTGTGAGCAGCGACTATTACTGGTGATTGTTGTTTGCCATGGCTCTACCTCTCACTGCGTGTCAAAACGTTCTATCAGCGATAGTCGGTTGATGCGAAGACGAGTGTCACGTGAGTTTCATGATATTTTGCATCACTGGTCCCAAGTAACATTGACAGATTCTCTTCGTCGACTTTCTCTTTGTATCCCCACGGCCATGTAAAGACATTGCCAGGCATTTTTATAACACAGATCGATAAAATAAACTTTAATCTAGCATCTAATACGACAAACTCAACTAGAAACGGTTATGTGCTCAAGTTATTAACGAAAGAGAAAGTTGACGAAGAGAATCGACCAGTGTTACTTAGTACCTAATGCAATGTTCAGTTTGATATCTTAGCATGCATGCATCAACATTTCACAAATAATAAGAAACAACATAAACACACCCGGATAATAACTATCATTCTTCGTAGCCTCGGTTGAAGACAGATCGATCCCTTTTGATGCAATCGACCTGATCCGCTGGATTATCAATTGTATCAATCAGGCTATACTGGAACCACATGAAATCCTAGAATCTACTAAATAATTGTGGAGACGGTGTCCTCATGAAATGAAATAGTGTAGTTGTCCATAGGTTGGTTGGAGTATCTTCTTTTGCCAATGCGCTGAAAAGCAGTTTTAATATATTTTTCTATTCAAATATTTCAAGATTTCTTCAATTTATCTTGCTAACTTCCACCTGAATTGTTGTTTTGAATGTTTCCTTTCATATGTTATGTGTTGTCATGCGAACAAGGTGTTCAACTCGGTCTTCAAGGAACGATTTTGGTTCAGTGTTCGAAAATCCCAAAAGCAGCTGTCAGTGACGATTGTCAATTTCGGTTGTCAAATTTGACGCCAAATGCTAATTTTACTCTGAACTGGCAATGTACAGATCAAGAACAATATGTGAAAAGGGCATATGTACAAGCTTTTTGTAAACAAACCTTCTTATGCTCTTTTCTCGACACCCATATGACACCAAATCAAACCATAAACATCACCGGGTACGGAAAACTTTACCCTTCCCGCGAGGGGCACGCAATACAAAGAACCGGTGCGTTGAAGTTAAAATGAAATCAAAAGTACTTAAAGTAATTAATGCGTTTTGAAGTAGTACTGACGGTAATTAAAATTATCTATCCGTAATTAATTTAATTAAAAGTATTAAAAATGTAATTGATGTACTTTAACTACGAAATTTCATCTGTAATTAATGGAGTTAAAAAGTACTTAATGTTCTACATTGTGTAATTAATGTAATTAAAGTAGTAGTTAATGGAATTAATTTAATTACAGCCGTTGCCTGCGTCGGAGTTAGAGGTTATAGGCCTTTTTAATGCACCACCAACGTTGAGTGCACCACGCGAGTTCGAGAGGAAACTGTTTGTTTACATCAGAAGAAAAAAATTTCACAACGCAAATTAAAGCATTTTTCATTGAACATCTTGCCAATACGCCTTTTTAATAGAAACTAAGTGATCGATTCAGCCTCTGGTGGTGAATAAGAGAACTCCAAAAAGAGTGTTGTGAGCAAAAATTTCTGCCGTGAGACATTGGAAGCGGAACACTTTTTCACTATTCCTGATAAATTGATTCATCTGAGATGCTCCAAAACTTGATCTACAGGTGAAAAATTTAATTCTGTATTGTTTTTGCAAGGATCCTGCTGGTGTTCTGGAAAATTTTTGTTGAGAAAAATGGAAAATTAGAATAATGCCTTAGTGGTTATGATCTTCCGGATTCCTTGTGCGTGAATAGTAGAGCTACAAATCAGTTCAGATCTGTGGAAAATCGTAAAATAAGACAATTACTGATGGAAATTGGCGAGATGTTCAATGAAAAAAGCTTTAATTTGCGTTTTGAAAAATCCTTATCCTGATGTAAACAAACGGTTTGGTTGACATTTCCTCTCGAACTCGCATGGCGCACTCTACGTTGGTGGTGCATTAAAAAGGCCTATTTCCATCAGTAATTTACGATTTTCCACACATCTGAACTGATTTGCACCTAAACTACTCACACACAAGAAATCCGGAAGATCATAACCACTAAGGCACTATTGAAATTATCCATTTTTCTTAACAAAAACATTCCTGAACACAAGCAGGATCCCTGCAAAAATGATACAGAATTAAATTTTTCAACTATGGATCAAGTTTTGGATCATCTCAGATGAATCAATTTATCAGGAAAAGTGAAAAAGTGTTCCGCTTCCTATGTTCAACGGCAAAAGATTCTGCTCACAACACTCTTTTTGACGTTCTCATATTCACCACCAGAGGTTGAATCGATCGCATAGTTTCTATTAAAAAGGCGTATTTCGTGCACCTAGCCTTCCCGATGATGTTGTTGGTTTGCGTGGACAACCCTCGGTTTTCGAGAAAAGGACCTACGAAGGTTTGTTTACAAAAAGCTTGTATGCCCTTTTCACATGTGGCTCTTGAGATATATTATTTTGCACGCATCACACGTAAATAGTAACGTCATCATCATTTCTAACCCGACATTTTCCTGGTTCACTCACTTGCCACCCTGGGAATGGCCAAAATACTAACCTATGGCTAATACTGGTACATTTATCTTACGAGGCATTTATCAAAGAAGTAGGGGGGGGGGGGGGGGTATTGCACGTGACACAATTCTTGATTACTTTTTCGAAGGGACGTATCAGCTTTTTTGAGCAATGCATTTGATCGTTTCCAAACATACCTCAGGTGATGCTTAGGGGCCTTGGATTAATTATCAATCCATGGCCACCAAGCATCACCTGAGGAATGTTTGCAAACTATACCTTGCTTACCAGTAGGGGAACTAGGGGCAAGAAGGTCACCCGGGGCAAGAGTGCCACCCTTAATATATTTTGAAAATGAAATCATTTCAATCCTGTCTCACGATGAACCTATGCACGGTATTCCTATGAAGCATTCTAAAAAGTTCTGTCCGAATCGAAGTCGTAAAAAAAAATGGAAAAAATCATTTTGTGTTGATGCATTGAAAAGCTAGTTTTTTTTTATAATAATAAGGCATCATAAAATAAGGTTTCCGGAATTTCCAATTTATTTTTTTTCACAATTTATGCATTGAGACGTCATTATTGATGGTTGATTGATACATTAATAACAATAAATTATTAAATATTTTCTTTAATTAATCAAAAATTATATTCCTAAAAATAAACTTTATACGGGGCAAGAGTGCCACCCCTACATTTATGTATTAAATTGTACAAAAATGTTCAGAAATTAGCACAATTGGGCATTTATGTTTCCAATAACATTGTTTTCGTGAAATTTTGGAAAACAAACTGTATAAAATAGTATCAAAAATAGTTTCCATTTGCATTCTTTGACGCACAAGGTTTGTGTTTTGGATTAAAAATATATATCGTTAAGTCAATATTTTAGTGGAATAAACAATATAAGCAGTTGCTGTCATACCAAAGAATAGTAATTTGTTGTTTAGAAATGAACATTTATCAGTTTCACTTCATTTTAGATATATGGTCTTTTTGCCCCATGGGGTTTAATTTTAATTTCAATGATGATACATGGAGACAAGGTTATAAACTCGACAGTGAGCATTCATAAGGGCGAATACGCGATGATCGATTCTCTTCATCGATTTTCTCTTTGCATTGTTACAGCTAAGCGAAACAATTTTCAAGAATTTGTTCAATGCAGAGTAGTAACAGGTTGTATTGGCTATCAAAAGCAACAGCAAACGCTCCGAGAAACGTTAAATCTAGCGAGTTATTAACAAAAGAGAAAATCGACGAAGAGAGTCGATCATCGCGTATAGGCCCTTATGCATGCTCACTGTCGAACTTACAATTCTGTTCACAAACTCCTATAAATATTCACGGAATCACATTTAAAAACTGCGCTATCGTTAGGGTGACCTTCTTGCCCCTAGTTCCCCTACTGAAACAAAACAGACTCCGGGCAATTCTAGGGCAACCTAGCCTTTTATGGACGTGTCCATTACTATGGAGTTGTATATTTAGATATTAAATTTAGAATATTAAAAAAATACCGCTAACAAGGAACGAGGAATATACGATTTAGCAGGACAATATTATAACATAATTAAAGTTTACAACATTACATACGACAGTACCTAATTTAAATTATTTAAATTTAATAATTTAAAATTCTATTAAAAATCCCTTGCCATATACAGATTAATCCACCCCATGTGACGGTATTCTTGAACACAGAGAAAATGCAACCGAAAATGGGTAATCTTTCCCGAAAAAAACGGTATCCCCATGTTTCGCCAATGGAGCTCCAGCTCAGCTCATCGCGAATGCACGTTTAACCCAGCTTACCCACTCGCACTGGCCTCCTGGACAACACGGAACACCGAGAAACTCTTTTCCCCGGAGCAATCTTCCTATAGAAACAGAACTTTAGAATCCACTTATCCACTTTTTTTTTGTTTCTTCCGTCTAATCAAACATTGTCCACTAGTCACACAAACGAGCTACAATGTTCCGTATGTTTGTCAAGCGATTTGTCGCCGTCGTCCGAAACTTCCGCCTCTTTTGGAGGAAGACAAAAAAAAATCTAAAACACACACGACAAACGCAGGGGCAACACCTCCTCCAGACATCCAATTTCTACGAATGCATGATGTCACCAAACTCCAGACATTCGTCGTCGCTACAGACCTTGAGTCACCGCACTCCGCCACTGACTTTTCACCACTCCGCGACGGACGATCCGCTGCCGGATTTCGTGACACACAAAATTCCCGGAAAAAAAAAAACTTTTCGATTCGATTCGATCCGAAACACACTCTGCGGAGAACCTGTAACCAGCAGATATGTGGGCCCGATTTGTTGTGTGTTGCTTCGGGAAATGATAACTTTCGAATGGGTTCCGTCTGCGGACGAGGTTGGATTTTTCTTGACTGACTCTCCACTACTACTGGTCTACTACTACCAGCAGCTAGCTGTTTCTGGCTGTTGCTGATACTACTACTCTTTTGGCTCCCCACAAGCTCCGCACGGAACGGAACGCGAATGACAGATTGGGAGGTATCTTCTTATTAGAAAACGCACACCATAAAACTTTGAAGTGAGCGACGGTTGCACAACACACACGCGTTCCGTCTGTCACTAAGAGGTCTGTCACACGATGGCGGCTGGTGGTTTTGCTGTCGGAATGTTGCCTGGGAAATGCAAACCTGCGAGGCGATGAAGCGACACCTGGCTGTGAAAGTGGAATTAGTTCAAGGTAGAGTCTGTGCACAGAGAACAGACGTTCAAGCTCAGTCAGAAACTTGTGTAAAATAAGTGGGAACGTCGCCGTTACGTGGTGTTAGCATCTCCTGATTGTCTCTATAAATTTTCCACTTTCGACCAATTTGGCGCTAGTATCGATAAATTTTCTGTTGAAAATAGCCACTTGGCGCTACTAGCACCAACAATCAATACGAAACTAACGATTTTAAATTGGCTCACTACTTGACTAGCCTATTGGTCCCAAGCAAACGATTAACGTACCCCATTCTAGTCGACATTCTAGTACAACACAATGTTTGTTTTGATTCACTATGAAAGTTTGACAGATAAAATGAGGGGTTATTGGATTTTCCTATGTTTCGAGGGGTGTATCGATTAGCTTGGGACCAAAGAGAGTACCAGAGCTGAGCCAAAAAGTTGAGTAAGTTTCTTCGGGACCTACTAGTCTTAGAGTTACCTCTATGCTAGCACTTAGTGTCTAGTGTAAGTTTTGCAACGCCAGCGCCATCATGTTGTCAAAGACGTTTTTTAAGTGGGGAAGTCGCCGTTAATGGCGCTTAAGTCAAATAGGAATCTTTACACAAGTTTTTAGAGAAATTTTGTTCGAGCCTCAATGTCTGTTCTCTGTGACCGCAGCCAGATGAGTCTGAAGAAGAATTTTTCACCGATGAAGACAGCAGCAGTGAGAGCGACTTGTCCACAGATTCCGAGATCGACGTGACTTCCGTGCTCCCACCGCGACAATCTTCAAATCCACCTCAGTCACAGGTGTCGGGAGCACAGGCTACCAGGCAAGTATGATGATTTTCAACTGTCACACAAAGGTCTGCCGCATATTATTCCCCCAAAGAGCACCACCCGTAATACCAATCTCGACGGCGATGGGCCGTTAATGAGCACTGACAACCAGGGTCAGTTCAGTGGAATGGCGGAATCTGCAATTCAAGCCGACGCTAGGAGGATGGATGATGATTCGGTGACACACCAGGAGGCATTGTCCAGAGACGACTCCGTACGCTGGGAGACGGCGATGAAAGAGGAGTACGACGCGCTGATCAACAACAAAACCTGGACGTTGACGGAGCTACCGAAAGGCAGGACGGCCATCAAATGAAATGAGTCTACAAGACGAAGCACGACGCTAGTGGTAATGTTGACCGGTACTAAGCTCGCTTGGTGATCAAGGGATACTCGCAGCGAAAAAGGGGGGGACTACGACGAAACTTACTCTTCTGTCGTTCGTCACAGTTCACTGCGGTACCTGTTTGCATTGGCCGCAAAGTACAATCTGCAGGTGGACCAGATGGATGCCATCACCGCGTTCCTGCAGGGAGATCTGGAAGAGGAGATTTTCATGGAACAACCGCCTTGTTTCATGAACACCGGAAGACGACCAGTAGTAATCCAGTAGTGTCTGGAACATCAAACTGAACGCCGCACTGAAGAAGCTGGGACTCATCCAATCGGAGTACGATCCGTGCCTGTACTATTGGATCGAAGATGGGAAGATTTTTTTCGTTGCGGTGTACGTTGACGACGTGCTAATATTTTCCAACGATGTCGCGCTGAAGAGTAGCCTGAAGGCCAAGCTAAGCAGTACATTCCGGATGAAGGATTTAGGACCTGCGACGAGCTGTTTGGGCATCCGTATCACCCTCTGTTTGGCGAACAAGATCCAATCGAGTTGCGCTGTGACAACCAGAGTACAATTTGTATCGCGCGGAACGGCGGATACACACCCCGGACAAACACATAGATATCCGGTACCATTACATCCGCGATGCGTTGGACTGGAAAACTATCAAACTTAACTACGTCAAAACCGAAGACTAAATTGCAGATGGTTTGACGAAGCCACTTCAGCGAGTCAAGCTTGAACGCAACCAAAGAGCAATGGGATTACATGTTTTAAGACGCCAGCTTAAGGAGGAGTGTTGAAGATCAGTAAGCTGCGTCTACATCAGTAGGCTAGTTATTATATGAGACAATAAATATTCATTCTACTTCTAACCGTCAACCGAACCATACGTTCTCATTGCCTACTCCCAATAATTAGTATTTTAGATTGAGCTTTAATTCGCTAGGAATCGGCAAATGACGTGTTTGTTTACAAAAGCATTTACGCCCTAATCTCGAAGTTCTCCGGAATTGACATCGTTCTTCCCCCAAGGGGATTTCTATCCGTGCTGCATTTCAGGTCGGCCTTGCGTTTTTTTGGATTGTGTGTGAAATATTATTCATTAATGGACACTTTCAAGTTGGAGTGTGTAGAGTTCAAACTATTTAATAGTGACAATTAGGACCAGTGTTTATTTGTAGAATCCACCTACCCCGAAAAGGCCGATTCACCAATGGTCTGTGTTACTGTGTGAGTAAAATCGGCTTGCTAGTTGTGAAAACGCGCGAACAAAAGACGAGACAAACGACTCGGGCACTTGAATCCCGATCAGCGTAGTGAACGGCAGCAGAGTAGCTGAACTCCCGATCGAACCAACTCTACAGAGTGAAGATCTCTTCAAGTTTCGGACAAGCCACGGATGAATTTTCTAGAGGATTTTTGCATAACTTTGCATATAATGTAGAGGAAACACTCCTATAGTTGCGGTACGTTAGAAGCTTTAGGTTCCTATACATAGTTGTGCATGGAGACTCAATACACAACTATAGGAACCTAACACTTCTAACGTACCGCAACTATAGGAGCGTTTACCCTAATAAGTTTAAATTTCTTTGAATCAAATTTGTTAGTGAAGGCAGTAGGAAGATAAAATAAGGTAGGAAAGGGACAGCCGCAGAATTAAATGAGTCAAAATATCTTTCGTGTCTTTAGATTCACGATAGGACACGAAGGGTTTCGGGAAATGATGGACTTCCGGTTCGTCTGAGCTTTACTTTCCTTAATCTGTGGATTCATGGTCTCTATAATTTCGTCCGTGCCTTCCCAATGATCATGAAGTGTGCACGTTTGTTCGTGGTCGTTTTGCCTAGTTAAAGTATGTAATTTAAAGTGATGTCACGAGATCATTTGTAACTGCTTTCTCTAATGCCAAAAAATAAACCATTGTGTTGATAATTTTCTTCCTGTTTTATTGCACATTGAATCTTCTGTTAATATACTTCAACTTTAGAACATCTTTGTCATCGTTTTCTGTGACTTTGTTTTCCAATCATATTTACTCGGTATAATATCTCTCACGGCGTAGTTTAATTTGCTTGTTTATTGCATCATAACATTCATGTTTCGGCAAACTCTTTCTACTTCTATGTAGGTTGATATCGTGGCTATTGTTTTTATCGCTTCTAACTTGGCATCCCCAATTCTGCTGTTTGGCCTAGCACGAGTAGACTTGAAGTTGATACCGTTAAACCCACCCGGGTTAATGCATGTGTATGTTTGTGTAAAAGTATTCTGTCCAATTTAACGTTATAAATGTTATCCAAATATATATATAAATATCAATAGTAACACATTGCACCTCTACTTATTAACACATGTAAATGAGATCCCGCATCGTAAATTGCGTTTCGTGATTTTTGTTTTTGGTTACCAATATTTGCGTTATAAATTAAACTATTTTTATGTTCAAATTATTTACAATTACACAAATTGCTACCCGACTGTTAACTATTGCGGTATTTAGTTTTAAGTTTATGGAAATAAATATATTTGTTTTCTTTTCGGTATTAATATAGTAAGTATATGGCTGTCAACGATTCAAGCGTTCGAGAAGACGTAACTGAAATCTTTGTTTACATATGATCCTACACGATATTTTAACAAGTACTCAAATTTGAGTAGAATCTACTCATATCGATCAAAGGTGAAGCTACTCAAACGGATTCAGGTCGATGTTGTCCTGAAATTTGAGTACTTTTCAAATAGCGTGTATTGTTTTAAGTATGTTGATTGCATTCACTATTTTTTTATAAGTGGAAATTTAACCTATAGAAATATAACATCTGACCAAAATAGCAGAACGTATCGATTGACTAGAATTGAAGATGCGCTAAATGGTAGATCTTTTACCTGCTTTGCCATTGTTTGTAATTGGTTTTGTGACGGAAAATTATACTACTTAAGCTCATACTTGACGTTTCGAACGTTTTTTTTTTTTTATTTAAGCTTCATACACCTCTCTGTTTATATTTCTTGCTTTTAGGTTCGGTATTCATACACATATACTGATTTGGTGGATTCGATTGATTATACTGCTTGGTATGGAGTAACAATCTTAAGATCTAAGACTACCCTTCTCTTTTGCTCTAAAAACTTTGCGTGCTACCAAAAGTTCACAATTTTATGATTAAGTCACATTTAAGTGTATATTTTAGGAGATACTGCGTGGTATGAGGCATCTCTAATTTTGGAAACATTGTGTAGAAGAAAGGGGATGTGTGAAATCAACTGAAGTCGCCGTGCAGCTTTCGCTGTCATTGAGTTTGGATCTTAAGGTCACTTCAGATTTCAAAAAGCTCCCATCGATGTTTTTCTTTTATTATTTCGCACAAAACGACGAGCGCTTTTTCCAATCTGAAGTGATGTCTCTGAGAAAACCACTTTTGAAATTTTTACTCACTAGGTCACTTTTACCTTAACGTGAAGAATGGCTGATTTCCCGTTGCCAAGCTAAACGATACTAACTGGAAAACTAGGAAGGTACGACTTTGGATGCTGCCAGCTCAA